CACTTGATGTAATTCGAATTACGAAAGTATCAATAAAGATTTGCATCGTTGCACATTCATCTATAAAAAAAAAAAAATAATAATAATAATTGATTAATAAAAGTTACACATGTATCGCACTTAGTTCAAAATAATAATAATAATAATAATAATAATAATAATAATAATAAAATTAAAATCACAAATTAATTAATTATATTAGTTATAAAAAAAGTAAACAAAATATATTTTTCTATATGTTTTTAATTATATAATATCAAATCTGATAATATAATTAATTTCTAAAAAGTTGAATGGTTTTTAGCTAAAGAACTAATATAGAAGTATTAGATAAAGTTAAAGTTATAAGTAAAAAAAAATGATTTTTTTTTTGTTTTCTCTTTTTTTTTCTTTATTTTTCTAAAAGAAAAAAATAGATACAAAACTTAAGTCTTATTTCAATTTGGTAATAAATTAAAGTAACAATTATTTATCTTAAAAATAATTAAAGAAAAAGATTTTAAAACTATTTATTAATTGAATAAAACAATAATTTTAAAGATATGATTTAAAAAAAAATAAACAATAAAAAATTAATATTCTTTTTAATTAGAAATTTTCAAGTATAAAGTTTTAAAAAATATTCTTTTGAAAGTATCTTAAATGTTTTTAAATATTGTTACTTCAATAAAAATTAAATGAGAAGTAAATATAATAGTAATTATAAGAAACTTAGGTTTTGATTTATAAAGATAATTTTTTTAATAATAGTTAAAATATATAATAGCTTTTTTTTCTTTTATTTTTTTTTTTATATATATTTGTATTGTTTTTTTCTTTTTTTAAAAAAATTTTTTTTATTTTTTTTCTCTTATATAATTTTTGCAAAAAAAAATTAATATAATTTTAATTTATGATTATAACTGTAGAGGTGATCTGCAGGTTTTGATTTTATTGGAAGCTTAAATTTTAATTCTATTCATTAAGGAAACAATATATTATTTTCATAAATTATATTTAAAGGCTTTAGCTGTTTATAGATAAGCTAAATTAAAAAGATTTATACTTTGTATATATTCTTATACTTGTAATAATTTAATAAATAAAATGATACCAGCCTAATTGTGGTTTTAAAAAAAAAATTAATTAAATAAAACTTGGCTAGTTGATAAAAAATTTTTTTTTTAAAAAAAAAATAATACTGTAAATAAAAGAGATTTTTTTTATTATTATACAAAATCAAATAAAAATATATTTATGTATTATCTTATTATGTAATCTCGTGACCTGCGTTTATCATATGTAAATGAATCTCGGGGACGAGGGACTTTGTAGAAAAAATGTCTATCCCCGAGGTGGTGATCTTTCTCTTGGATGTGTCCAAATCAATGCTTTCTCCTGCAAACCAGCTTGAGACGAAATGTAGTTGTGCAAAAGCAGGTCTTTTGTGTTATAAGATTACTCTGTTTATCGTTGTCCCATTATAACGATCTTTTGCAACGCGTTTTTTTTACTTATTAGGAATAGAATATTTTTTTCGCCGTTGTCACTGGCAGACTGTTGCTTGTATTGCGTTTGCATCGCATTGTAGCATTTTATTGGAGTTTACCAAGTATCAGGACCTTTTACCGTATGCTTTTGATAAGTGTGTACCTTAAAGATCCTACAAAAAAATTTGATTCTTGTCGATAACCATTTTAATCCACATCAATTTATAACTTAGATGGGAAATCAAACCTGAAGATTCTGATAGAAACCTGGAAAATGCTTTTCATTTTGCCGAAAGACATGTCATCGAAAAATTCGGGTTGAACCAGGCCTGTCAGGTCATCATGATAACTGATGAACGATCACCACAAGGTGCATCATCTAACTTCATTATTCTAATATTCGTTATATTCTCATTTAGGATTAACATTTTACTTGAATATAGGGCATCGTTCTTTTAAATTTAAAAATCCTCTTTGGCGAATTCACATTATTTGTATGGCTAACGAAGTTAATAAGGATGAAGATTCAAAAGAAACCAATGGGATGTTGCAAGAGTATAGAAAATTGCTTAATAGACATTTACCTTTCAAGATAACCAAGAATCATCCTAAAGGAAACATGGCTTTTGAGAACGAGGGTGCATTCTGTTTTATATCGTATCCTCAAACTAAAGATAAGATTATAAATACCGTGGATTCAATTGCTGAAAAATATTGTATCCTTAATAGTTTACAGACATGTTGTGTTTACATCTATTCTTCCATAACTCAACTTTCTTAAATTTCAAGTTTTGCCATACAAGAGTACTCTGTTGTGTGGACAAATATTTTTGCCTGTTTTGATATATCCAGCCATTCATACTATTGACGGGGAAGATGGTTCGCCCTCTTGTTATCTTATGAGTGGATGTAAACACTTATTTAAATAAACTATTATTAAATAAGATTGATATTGATATTCAGTTCAGGAATTGGTGAAAGTTATTTCCATTGTGGAATTTGTGTCAAAAAATTCTTTTCGAGGTGAACCTTCGCGTTACCGTTTCTGGATGTTTCTGGATGATGACTGTAATGACATTAAAGAGGTATTGATCTGGTATATTTCTTCTTCGCATTTTATTATATTTGAGGTTTCGCATACTCATTTGACAAGAATGGTTTTCAGAATTACAATGAGTATTTTCATGTACTATGGTTATCACTAAGAAACGAAAATCGGATAGCGGTTGCTTGGTTACAGGATAATACCTTTGCCACCATAGAAGTTTCAATAACTCCGGAAAATCGAACGAATCAGACCGATATGTCAGTTGCATCTGGCTCATGTGAGTTAACATTTGTACATAAAAAAATCATTTCCAGTGTATTAAGACTAATTGTTTCTTTTCTAAATGTCTAGATTTTTACTTCACCGTGTATTCAAGAAATATTTCGAGTGATATGTTATCATCACCAACAGTTAAGTCTAGTAAAAGCTATATGTCCGAAAACATTGAGCTACCTAAACCAGAACACATCGAGGTAAGTGATACCAGATTTTGTGAATATGAATTTGATCTCATTCTCTTATCTGTTAATTTTTCAGGTTCTAATTAAAAAAATAACGCGTTACGCGGGTAATTTACCGAATGACGTCACCAAATTATCGACAGCGTAGGATATAAGCTCATTTTATTTTTGATAAATAACCATAAAAAAAATTAATTTTTTTTATGTGAACTACGTTAGTGTTCAACAAATATCGAAGATAATTGAAATGTTTTATTATATATCACTTCGGGAAAAGGTGATTGAAATACTACAGGACCTACGGTAAATAATTTGGTTGCTCACACGTATTTTACTTGGTTAATTTAATTCATTATTTCTTTTTTGGCAAAGTATCCAGTCTCCTGAAGCAGAAAACCGAGCAATCCTTACCCAATGTTTGCAAGTTTTAGGTGACACTGAGATGGAAGAAGATGATGAATATGAAAACGAAGGAATGGATTATGAAGGAGAGATTGCTGGAGATCAAGAAGATCGGGAAACTCGGATTTCGGTTAGCAATTTATTAAATTGAAATCACCGCCTTACGATGAATGAAGGAATCTACTTTGTAAAAATATCAAAGATAAAATGTTGTTATAAGCTCTATCTTTTTCAAAATATCTGCATAGATAAAAAGGATCTTTTTATGGAAACAGATTTTACTCATTTGTGTAAAAAAATTTGAGAAAATCTTTTTAAAAACGAATTTCGTTTTCGAAGGTACATTATAAGGTACATATTTTGATAAACGTGTTGGAATAAAAATACATAGTCTGTCGCAAAATTCCTTTAATAAAATAAAGTATAATGGATCTTCTATAATGAGAAGTTCTCTGTTTTCATGTGATTTGGCATTGTAAAACATTACATTTTTAGTTATGCATGTGATTATCACGTGATTGATGTGAATTTTTTTTTTAAAAAATTACTGCAATATCTTTTTTGTTCTCTCTCTTCGATTATCGCTTGCTTCAGATCAGAATGGTTTGTGTAAATTTTTGAGCACTGAAAAAAACATAATTGATTGAACTAAAAAATAATTATTAATAATATGTAGGATACAGCCGCTCCTACCATTAGGACTCGTAAATTTCTTACAAACCGTCTTCTAAAGCGAAGACAAATGGTTGTTGACATTATTCATCCCGGAATTTCTAATTTATCAAAGGATGATACTCGCGAAAAGCTAGCCAAGATTTATAAAGTCGACAAAGAAGTCATATTCGTATTTGGTTTCCGCACATGTTTTGGCGGTGGTAGATCCACTGGCTTCGCTTTGATCTATGACAGTCTCGAAGCAGCTAAGAAATTTGAGCCCAAGTATAGGCTTGTTCGGGTAATCTATTTGATGCTAGTTTCAATGGCTATTGAGTCGCACTGTTTTATTTGTAATATTTGATCTTTAACACAAATTTTTACTTTGTTGTAAAGCATAAACTTGCCGATTCTCAAAAGACCGCCCGAAAACAACGTAAAGAAAGAAAAAATCGGGCCAAAAAATTCCGTGGAACCAAGAAGACCAAGGCTGCTACTGCCAAGAAAGAAAAGTAATATAAAACTTATCAATTTAATTTTTATGACTACCCATGAAGATTATTTGAGTAATGTGCTAAGTTATTATATGTATACGAGTCCAATGATGATGCCTTGTGAGATTTAACTGTAGTAATTAGTGTGATTTATCTAATAAATGATGGATGCTGTGTGTCTATTAAAATATTCTTTATTTTATTTGGGTCTCATTCGAAAGTGAAGTTTCCTTAGATACAATAAATATATAATATATAGATTATCATTCATAAGAAAATCAAATTATTTATTAATATTAAATTAATTTCAATAAACTTCTATATTTGGAATCTAATTTTAAATAAATTAATAGTATTGTTTTTCAATTATGTTAAAAAATTTTTTATAGAATTTGAAAAGAGTTATATTGTTAATAATGAAATTAAAAATTTTGATATTATAATTCATTCTTATTGATTCTTTTTTTGATAGGAGTTGTTTCTTGAAATATTTTTTTGTTTAGAATTTTACTGCTTATTATAATTAGTTTGATTTTTGTTGAATTGGTTTTGATGTTAAAGAATTCTGTTGCTATATTGAGATTGTTTTATATTTCAGTTTTTGAAATTGTTAGAAGGTTAAAATCATTCATATATGTTATAATATTGTTAGGACTTCAAAAAGTACTGAACTGGTACTAAAGTAATATCAAAATAGTATCAATTTATAATAAATTTAATATATGGATTGTAATCTATTCATATAAATTTATAATAAATTTAAATATCAAACAGGTATTGAAAAAGTATTATTAGAAGCTTTAGATATTATATTTGAGTTGAAAGGGTTGTTGTATTAAGGCTATGATTAAAAAATCATAAAATATTATTTATCAAAGAGAAAAAAAGTTTCTTCTTGATCTATTCCATTAAGGATAATAGTTTGTTAAGTAAAACTTATATCTATTATTATTTAACATATGTAATTTATAAGTATATTACTTGTTAATGAATAAAGATTTCTGAAATGTGAAATTTTTATATTGAGCATTTGAACATATTTAAATTGATAAAATCAAAGACTATATTAATATCAAGTAAAGAATCCATAGTTTGTTTTGTATAAGTTTCTTGGAATCATAGATTGAATTTAGAATTTGTATTAATTTGAATATATTTTGATTTGAAAATCTATAAAATTAATTTTTAAAGAATATTGTGAGTTGTTAAGATATGATTGAGCTTTTTAATTAGAATTTTTATTATAATTTTCCTAAATGAATCAATAAGAGCTATTGGTTTTGTTTCTTAAATATTATATTTCTATTGAAGTTTTTTGCTAATTGGAAATATATAATAATTTTTCCATTAAAGTTTTTTGCTAATTGGAAAGATATAGTAATTTTTCCAGTTAATTAATATTTTTTAAAAGGAGAGTATTTGATTGAAGATTATATAAAAATAGAAAACAAGTATTTTTTAAGTTTATTTTATAAAGAAGTAAATAATTTTGAAGGAATCAGGTGCTTTATTATTTGAAAGAGAGTTAATTGTTTCTGTAATTTCATTAGAATTTCAAAAAATATTGAATTGATATCAAAGTGATATTGAAATGGTACCAATCTATAGTAAATTTAATATATAAATTGTGATCTACTTATATGAATTTATAATAAATTTAAATATCAAACTGGTATTGAAATAATACCATTAGAAGCCTTAGATTTCATATTTTGTTATTGAATATATTAATATATTATAGATTATAAAGTTAATATTATTAAGTGATGTATAGTATTTTTTTCATTTGGATAGGAGTTTATTATTAATAATTTATTTGCAAAATATTTTTTTATAATAGTTAATATTTGTTTAATAAATTTTAAATAAATTAATAATTATTTATTCTTTAATAGAATTTATAATTTTTGTAAAGAATATATAAAATTTTTGTAATTGAAAGTCTGTTTAATTATAATTTTTGAATTGTTTTAAAGATTAATTATTCATTGATTTATTATTTTATTAATTGTTTCTTTTTTTTGAAGGTTATTTTTGATTTTGAATAATTTAAAAGTAATTTGAAAAATTTTTTAAGTAAGTTAATTTGATTATTTTTATTAATACTATATATAAAAGTTTGAGATTTTTAAGTTCTTTAATTATTGTAAAATCAAGTAAATAAAAAGTTTGTATTATTAAATTATAAATATAAAATTTGATAGCTTGTAGTTTTTTGTAAAGTATTATATCTTTTTTGTTAAAGATTTGTGAAATGTTTTATGGATTTTTGTTTTAGAAATAAATTTGTTTAAGACTTTGATAATATTTTTTATAATAGTTTTGATAATTGTATTGATGTTATAATAGAATAAATAACTTAATTTTATTTTACTTATTTTTTATCAAATTATTATTAGTCTATTTTTAGTAGTAATATTTATTTATTTTATTATAATATACAGTGGGTGGCCAAAAGTCACCGAACAGTTCAAATGCCAATAGTAAATTTTTTTTTTTTACTAATTATATT